GTGGCATGTGCAGGGTTGCTGCGCTGTGAGTGGACAAGGGCTGCCCGACGCGCTGGAGAAGCTGGCAGAGATGGTGAAGCAGAAGGCCAGAGGGCTGTAAGGCAGGCTCCTCTGCACCACTCGGGGACTATGGCAAATGCCTGCCAACCAGCAGAAATCCCCTGACCCAGTCAGTAAACTCTGGGGAATGGGACAGGGACATGCAGCCTCTCGGAGATCTCTGGGCTTCTCTGCCTGCCTATTAAGGATCCAGTGAGGCAGTAGCTCCCAACCTGCTGCTTCCTCACCGTGTTTTCCTTGGGAGCATCACAGCCAAGCTGAGACTGATGCTGCTGGGAGGCCCTTTCAGAGACGTGGATCATCTGGGGACCTGCTGGGATTGGATTTTTTCTGTATCATGCATAGGGCTGTGGTAATGAGTATTAAACAAGTGGTTATTAAACAGTCTCTGGGCTTATTTTCCTTTGTAGGCATTTGGGTGTCTTGGCCTGGCTCCAGGCCGTGGTTGCTCTGGCATCCTCACAGGGGAAGGGGGCTGGTTTCTGGTGGGCTCTGGCTCTTGGCACATTTAGGCAGTGTTGAAGTGCCAGCCTGAAATCTTGGGCCTGTGAAAAGTTCACCGAGTGCTCTGGGATGCTGGGGGTGACAGTTGCTACCGAAACAGAAGCACCTGTTGGTGTAACAGCTGTGTAGTCAGTGCAGCAGGTTTCACCCTGCTGGAGCGACAGCCCTGGGGAAAGTGGCCCAGCGTACTGCTATGAGCTGTGTTGGGGGAGGAGTATGATGGGACATCCATTTAAGGAACCACCCCTGTTCTCTGCTTCATTTCCCAAGCCCATTTCAGACTCCTGGCCCATTTGTATTTCCTAGCTGCAGGGCAGGGAGGGAGTGTATCCGTGGCTATCAGCTCAATGAGACAGGGGCAAAGGCACTGATTCACAGCAGCAGACAAGTCACTCATAGCTCCCCTGTGCCTCAGTTTCCCCAGCTCTAAGGAACAGCCTATACTGATCTCCTGGGGGGAGCAGAGGGGCAGTGCACACAGACACATGGCACCTTGGCTCTCTGAACAGGGTGAGCCAGCACCCAAAGGCATTGCTGAGCTGCAGCACAGAATAAATGAACTCCAGCAGCCTGCAGCAGCCAGGCCCAGTAGGAGTGCAGAGTGTCCCTTGCAAACCCTCCTGCTTCCCTCTGGAGTTTCTTAAATAGCCACTAGGTGCCGGCAGCTTTCAACTTATCATCCCACCTCCTGGGTTCCCTTGTGCAGAGAAAGGCAGAGCCAGCCCCATGCGTGGAGTGGAGGCAGGAGAGCTGTGCTGCTGAGTGGACAGAGCCAGTGTGGTAGCTCACAGCAGGAGGTGAGACCAGGCTAGTCCCTTGGAGCTGCTGTGGAGTTGCTTCTGACCCTTTCCTCCCTTGGAAGCCATGTTCCCTGCAAGTCCCAGGCTCAGATTTTTCCAGCACCATGTGCCCTGGTCCATGCTCCAAACTAGTGTCAGGATTTCAACAGGAGACACCCAGAACAGCCTGGCCCTGCAGGGGGTGGATTTGTTGTGGGAGCTATGGCTCCCTACTTTGTCCTGATCTCCAGTCCCCACCACTGTGAATTTTCTGTGCCCAGGCCTTTCCAAACCCTGGAGAAGGCCACTCCCTGCTGCAGGAACACTATTCCACAGGTGGCAGGGCACGGGGGGTGAGGGGAGCACTGTGCCCTGGAAGGGTACCTTTGGGATCAGACACAAGGCCCTGGACAGTAGGGAGCATTACAAGTGTTTGTAGATTTGGGCTGCTGGACACAGCTGAATCCCAGCTGGACACAGTTGAATCCTGTGATCCAAGCATCTTCATCTCCCATCCCAACCTGTTGTACAGCCCCTGGAGCTCAATGACAACCTTTCTCTTCCCTTCGGGAAGTGGTTGAAAGGCCTCTCCACTCTGCCCCCATACAGCAGCAGAGGGATGGCACACCAGGCTTGTGAGCCCAGGGGTTATGGAAAATTTGCCCTTGCCTCCTGCCATTTGGCTGTACCCTCTCTGCCCTCCCAAAACTTGAAGTGCCCCATGCACCAGGCAAACAGCAGCTTCCACTACTACTTTTCAGTTTCTCTTGGGCACATACCCAGTGCTGGCCTAACATGTTTGGGGGGCTCCAGGCTGCTAGAGCAGGGGCAGTGGAGGGGTCTGTGGATGGGGACTCTGGTGGAGCACTCACTTTGCTTCTCCTTTATGCTCATACTGCTTGATGCTCTTCTGTGGAGAAAGCCATGCAGTTCATCTTCTTGTCAGAGGGGACATTAGCAATGCAGTATCTGGGGATATCAGTAGTGTAACATGTACACCAATCCCAGAACAGAGGTGGTTACAAAGAGCATGCAGGAAATCCCTTTTTCCAGGAATTTCAGTCCAAGACCAACAGCAGAATAACTGTTCCTCCAGAATGGACTCTTATTGGAGAGATGATGGCAGACATCAAATATGCCCATTGCTTGCAACAGCTTCTCCACAAAGAATCTACAACAACCAAACGATTGTTCCTTTCTTCAGAGGCTCAAAACTTGCCCACACACTAAGGAGAAGGGCTTGTGAGACTGTTACAGCACTTTCTGTTGATCCCTGGCCATAATGGTGTGCATGTGTGTGTAACTATAAATACACACCCATAATGTGTAGCTCTTGGAATCACTTGAATACACAGGCACAAAGACTGTCTGCTCAAGATAGACTTGGCTAGACTTGGTTGGGATGGTGCATTTCTGGGAGCAGCAGCTTTAAGCATGCTGTCTCCATGCAAACCCATGAGAGAGAATGTTCCTGGGTCCAAATCTGAAAGACTAGAGGTAGGGAGAGCAATATGCATTGGTGGAAAATCATCCCGAGCCATAGAGTGGCTCCTGAGAGAGTAACCCGTCACTCTCAGAACTGCTGGCCTGTGTGTCATGAGCCCTATATTGTTGTCAGTTAGGTAGGAGGCTCCTTCAGCTCCAGTCCGGAACAGGAGGATGAGAGTTCCTAGTGACCCTCCACATTGCTATAGGGCCATGGTTCTCAACTTTCTTAGACTTGAGGCGCCCCTTGATAGATTTGAAAAAATGCCAACTCTTATTTTCACTCTTTTTTGACTACAGAAAAATAATAAAGCAATTCTTTTGTTGCGAAGAGCTCAGAAAACCCACAACAGATCAGAGTAGTTTTAACACTACAGATTTGTGTGTGAAAACTCTGGGTTTATCTTGTGACTCATGTTTGCATACCTTATGTGCTAACGTTGTGTGGCACCGTTGAAAGGATTCTCAAGGCACCCTGATTGAGAATCACTGCTGTAGGGGCAGCCAGTCTGCTGTGCACAAGAGCTACTATTTCTACCTCCTAAAGCCATGCCTCTCAAGGGCCTCTTCTTGCAGGCACTCTGAGCCCCTGTCAAACAGCAGGATTTCGTGATGTGGCAGGTCCCAGTGTGGCCTGAATTCACCCCAGCAAGATATGTGACTGCCACAGGAGTGCCCAGCAGAAGAGGCACCATGGAATGGTACATTGCCCGGCCTCAAATGGTGTCATGAAGGTGGTGAGAAGCAGGGGATCATCCTGGCAGATCTGGGGCATCAGAACCTGTCCAAGTGGGAGGTGGCAGATACATGTCTTGGGTATCTCTTTGAGAAGGACAGTTATTTTCTATCTATCTATCTATCTATCTATCTATCTATCTATCTATCTATCTATCAATCTATCTATCAATCTATGTGTCTGTGTGTCTGTCTGTGTGTCTGTCTGTCCCCTAGTACTTATTTGGGAGCAATCATTGGGACTAGGCACTGCATCTGGACCCCTGTGTTAGATGCTTGGCCCTACAGCCTCATATCTGCTGCCCCTCTCTCCCCACTCTGTGCTGGAGTAGACCTGGCAGCACTAGGAGGCGCTGTCTGATAAATACTGGGGCTCTGTAAAAATATAACCTGGCAGCTCATCTCTGGCAAAATTCCAGCCCCTGTGCCAACCAGCTCAACACCAGCAGCTCAAGCGCACGCAAGGTCCTGCAGGCCCTCTAATGAGACCCTTTGATCTGATTGATGGGAGCTTGCCCAGCTTCCCGGAAAGCATGTGAACTGCCCCGCCATGCCTGAGCTGATGCTGGGAAGGACCAGGGGGGCTAGGGCATGCAGAGTCAGAATGTTCCCTGCCCCTCATGGACTGCCTGAAATCAAAGCCAGGAGTCCTTTTCCAGCCCAGGCACCTGGATGCCAACACCCACCTGTGGGTCAGATGTGGGGCTCCTTGCACCTGCTGGAGGGTCAGGCTGGAGGACTGTGTATGTAGGAGGAAGTGACGGGGGCCCCGGGAGCAAGGCAGGGCGGGGATTTGCCCTGGAATTGAATCCTGATGCCAGCCACAAGCAATGCAATGCTGGTGGATCTGATTTCTGCTCACTTCAGTCATTTCAATAAAAACCAGGACCTGATTCAGCCCAGCCCCTGCTCCATGCAATCCCGGATAAGGGCTGCTGGGTAGAATGAGGCTCTCAGTCAGGGGTGAGCAGAATGAGCAGAGCCTGGAGAGGAGTTGAGAGCAGGGGGCTGCAGGGTGGAGTTGAGGGGCACTGGAGGAGGAGCCCTGGGCTGGGATAGCAGGGGCTGTAGCTCAGTACTGAGGGGCACCGAGAGCAGGGGGAAGCCCAGCACCGGGCCAGCTGGTCAGGGTAGAGGGGCACCAGCAGAGTCATGTCGGGGTATGCTGAGTCAGGCTAGCAGAAAACAGCAGGGCAGGACTGCGGCCTTGTGTTCTTCTTCAGGATCCCAGCCTGGTTCCCAGAGCCTCCATTGTGGGCTCAGCCCAGAACCCGTTTGCCACTACTTCGGAGTCTGTGCTCTCTGGTTTGGGGCAAATAAGTTCTGCCTTCTCCTGAAGGCAGAGCTGGGCTGCGAGTGACAGCTCCCGCTCGCTGTGCTCTGAGCAGTAGGAGAGAGAGGGAGGTGTGGCTAGAGGCCAGTATAAAGTCCAAAGAATCTCAGCTCCCACAGGCAGCTCGGAGTCCCCCTGCTCTGGACGGCCGCACCGCTTCGTCTGGCCTGAGAACACGCTGCAAAGCCCTCTCTGCTCTACACACTGCCCACCCTGGGGGTCCTGGCCATCCCCAGCTGCTCTGCTTGGTAACCCAGCCAAGGAGGCTGCTGCATTTGCTGGTCTGCTGCCTCTCTCTCCTTTGGCTGGCCCATTATTCACTGTAGCGCCCAGTCCATACGCCTGCCTGCCATGCCCATGGGCAGCCTCTCTGCTGTGCTGTTGCTGGCCACAATGGGCCTGTGCGTCAGCGATGAAGCCATCCACTGCCCACCCTGCTCGGAGGAGAAGCTGGCTCGCTGCAAGGCACCAGTGGGGTGTGAGGAGCTGGTGCGGGAGCCTGGCTGTGGGTGCTGTGCCACCTGTGCCCTGAGCAAAGGGACGCCTTGTGGGGTTTACACTGCCCGCTGTGGCTCGGGGCTCCGCTGCTACCCACCCCGGGGGGTGGAGAGACCCCTGCACACGCTGATGCATGGGCAGGGGATCTGTACAGAACTGTCTGAGATCGAGTCCATCCAAGAGAGCCTGCAGCCTCCAGGTAAGGGGACAGCTCCAGCTTGCCCTCCTGCAGGGCCCTAGGTTCACAGTAGGGATGGGGAGGGGTTTCCTTGGCTCCTTCTGGGGTCAGGAACAATTGCTGCTGAACCCAAGCATGGCAGGCCCTGCGGGGGATGTGGGAGAGGGGCAGGCACAGGGTTTGCATGGCTGGGGGGAGGGATGTGTGGCAGCTAGGTGCAAGGGCACCTGCATCGAGCAGTGATAACTGCTCTAGCATCTTGCTACAGGCATTGCTGTTGGGGCAGAGGCAGGCTGTGTGGATGGTGAGCCTCGCCAAGGGCATCTGTACCCACTGCCAGTCCCTTTACATGCACAGGCACAGAGGTGCCTCCTCTCAACCTGGCAGGAGCAAGGAAGGTCTCTGGAAGTAAGGTGCAGAAAATGGGGGTCTTGCTGGTCCAGAGGGCACCTGTAGGACCCTGCAAGGAGCAGGGTGCCTCCCCAAGTGAGAAGGAACCCTCCTCCCATACCTCAGCCTGAGAGCAGACTGAGGGGAGCAAAGGATTAACGGGCCTTGAGCATCCCATCCTTCAAGCTCCAGAGGCAGGGGGCCCCACATGTTGATACAAGGGTTTGCCTCTTTTCCCCATGGACACAGACTGGGCTGTGGGGGGAGGCCAGGGCTCACTGTATGGGAGTCCCATGTGCCTGCAGTAGTACTGTCACCCCTGGGGGCTGGTCCCAGGGATGGGGTGCTCCAGGCAGGGGGCAGCCCTTGGCTCTGTGATCTGTCCTGCAGTGTGCCTTGCTTCATTGGGCCCTGGTCACCCTCCACCAGCTGCCCCACAGGCCATGCTTGGGTTGGGATGATGTTGTGCAGGTGGCTGAGCCTCCCTTTCCTGTGGCAGGGGGCAGATCCTCTTACAAAAGGTGCCCTCCAAGCAGGGGCATAGAGGGAACCATCTGACCCTTTGGGACTATATTGACATGGGGGGGGGAGGGGAGCTGTGCTGCCTATGCTTGTTTCTTGGGTATTCACTCACAGAGCAAACTGGAATGACCAGTGTGGAAGGGGCTAAAGAGCTGAATAGCCCAGGGTCGGGTGAAGTGATGCTCAGTCATTTCCAGGTGCTCACTTCTCCAGTGCCAGGATGCCCCTTCCACCTCCCATCCTGTCCCCACTCTGCTGAGCCCTGGGAGAGGCAGAAGGACCTTGGACTTGGATCTCAGACCCAGATCTGGATGTACTGCCACCCCATCCCTGGATCTGAACACCTGCACCTCAGCCCAATGCACTGTGACCTCCAGCAGCATCAGGCCGTGTAGGTCCCCTGGGTAGCCTTTGCAGACCCTCTCTGACTTTTGCTTCTGATCCCCCTGGCCCTTACAGTGACTGTGAAGCTGAGTATATGGAGGTGAGGAACAGCCCCTCCTGAGCTGAGAACCACTGCCCCTCCTTTTTGCTCTGTGTGATCATCACACACAGCTGCCTGGGTGTGATCCATTGCAGGCAGAGGAGGGCAGGACCCCTGTGCACCTTTGCATCCTGCCTGTGTGCATTGCTTTAGGCACTGTGGCTGAGGCTCCTGGCTTCCCCTGGCTGCCTCTGCCTTTGTGGTTCTGTGTGTTGCTATAATGAGATCATGGAGGATGCTACCCTGCCGGACAGAGGAGGTGCCAACACAAAAACATCTTTCCTTTACCCCCACTCCCCCGCTTTCCCCTGCCACCCATGGGAAGCTGGCATCAGGCCGTCCAAGCTGTAAGAGGCTGGGACACTGCTGAAGTCCATGAGGGAGAGGCCAGGATTGGGGAGAGCTGCTGAAAACCAGTTCAGGATTCCCTTGAGAAAAGGGCTTCTAAGCAAAGCCAGCATGAAAGGGAGAGGAATAGCTAGGGAAGTACAAGAGCAACCTGTAGCCCACAGCCCAGGCTGCAGCCCTCACATGAGTGGCAGGGCTGTTCCCACAGCTGGTGTTTCCCAGCCCTGTTTTCTGGAGACCCCCAGGGAACAGGAGCCCTGCTGTGTCTGGAGTGTCCTGCATTCTGCGGCTGGTGTCCCCGTCCCAGGACAAGTCACAAGCTGAACTAATGGAAGCCATGGGCTCCTGGGGTTGGAAGGGGCCTCACAGGGTGCATACTCCAACCCTCTGCATTGGGGCAGCAGAAAAGCCACTCTAAAGGCTAGGTCCCATTGAGATCCTGATCCTGTGGCTTGAGCACACCCCTAGTACCAGGCTTCCTGACTTAATCTCTGCCCTGAGATATTTTTGACTGGTGGGGTGCTCCCAGCCTTGCCTAGCCTAGGCCAGTGTCTGCTTAGAGCTGTTGTTGGAGAGGAGACAAGATTTGGGTATTGCAGGGTATAGGATGGGACAGGTCTTGTATTTGCTGGGGTCTTGGGGCTGGTACGTAAGTGCTCATCACACTGCTCTGGCTTGGCCATGTCCCAGTGAAGGGAATAAACGTGTGTCACCAATTATGGAACTGGAGTGTGAGGTTGTTTGGACTCAGGGAGCAAATCAGGAAGCGGATGAAGCTAGTCTGGTGTGAGGTCACAGTGGGGCCCAGGGATTTCCAACGGGCATCCAGGTAGCTTTAGTTTATGGGCTGATTCAAGCCCTTTGAGCAAGCACCCTCTGCCAGCCCCTCAGTGACCCATTTGTGCAATGAGTTGTTTGGCCTCAGCCCAGTTCTTTGCGGATGAGTTTCCATATCACTTCCCCAGGCACTGGGATGGGGTGAACAGCCTCCCCCAGCACCCTGCTCTGAGCCCTAGACCACGGGGCCTGCCTTGAGCTGGCCTCTCCCTGCTGCTGGGAGCATAGTGGGGAACTATCTTTGTTGCACTAAACTTCTCTGGCTTTGCCCTGGAAGAGCCTCCTGTGCCTTGGTGGAATCTCAGTTGTCCCTTCACTAAATTTTGCCTGATTGGAATCTGACCCAAAGGAAAATGCAACACGAAGAGTCAGGGGCAGAGAGAGAGGGTGCCCTGTTCCCCACCGAGCTAAGTGACCCTACAGCTTTGCTGCTGGGAGCTGCATGGCAGTAGGGAAGAAGGGATGGGCTGGCAGAACACACGCACACCCCAAATCCCATGGACAGCTGCTCCCTCATTAGTTAGGTGCTGCCTGCAGTACTGAGGACACTTCTGCCCAGGCAGGCAGTGCTACCTGTGTTTCAGAAGGAAAGGGCAGGCTGAGTGCTTCACTGTGAACTGAGCTGTGCACAGCCCTGGGACTGGACTATCCAGCTGTTGCGGCCCTTCCAGCAGTCTGCCCTGTTTACCTGTCCCCCCACCACCATGGTCTGTTCTCTCTCCCAGTGTGCCAGGCTTCAGCTGTGAGATGCTAGGGATCTGGCCCTGGGTGGGAGAGGGGCCAGCCCTGCATTTGGGGGCTTGTGGCAGGACAGTTAGTAGACCAGCCACAGGTTGAATCTTGTTTTGTGCATCTCTGAATGGGATCAGATCATGCAGACTATGGGTCCAAATCTCCCCCTATGCTTGCTTCAGCTCTCACACCCTGGTAATGGGCACCTGTGTAGGCACATCCATCTGTCCTTGGACCAATCACCTCTCTTTCTGGAAATCCCAGGCTTCTGGGGCAGGATATGGTGTGGCAGCTGGAAGAAAGGTCCCCTGACCTCCTGAGTGTTGAGCGTGTATCCTATGTCCAGCAAAGACTCCTGTGGCTTGCTGGGCCTTGAGAAACCTTCAGCCTCTCAGAGCCTTCTGGATTTGGCCTTGCTGTAGAGAAAGCAGCTTTCTCTCTAAAAGCTTTAGGGAACAGACTTGCAGGGTTCCCCCCACGTGCCCTTTATGCTCTGCTCCCTGTGTGTCATGGGCCCAGTATAGGCAGTAGTCAGGAAGAGTCTCCTGTAATGCTTGTCTTTGAAGTGCAGGAGTGTGCATTATTTCCTCTGGGTGCTGTTTCCAGTTGCTCTGGCAATTTGATGCTTCATGACATTTCCCACCTAGGCTGGGAACCCACTGCCTTTTGCAGGGAGCTGAGCTCCAAATTCGCTTAATCCCCTTTGGAAACCCAAGCCCTTGTCCATAGCCAGCCCCTGGGACTTGGCAGGTGTCACAGCACAGCTGAGGCCTAAGGGCATGCAATGTTGCGGTGTGAACAGCAACCCCCCGCCAGCTGGTGGCACCCTGAAAGGGAAAATGGCAGGTGGGGCCCGGAGGGCACATCTCCATGGGGGAATTGACTGGTTCAGGTTGTAGCGGCGGAGTGAATTCACTCAGTCAGCCAGAACAACCCCCCGGGAGGGATTGAGCCCTCAGAGACGCATTGGAGAGGAAGGAAGGACCTGCCCACCTGCTGTGCATGCCCTCCCATGGTGAACATGGCTGGGAAGTAGTTAATATGTAGCTAGCAAGGTAAACACTTTGTCTGGTTTTCCAGTACTAGGAATTCTGCATTACAGGGAACCAGCGCTTCCCGTGAAATCAGTGGCTGGGGCTGAAATCTTTTTATTTTCAAAAAGGGAGTGTGTGCATGCACTGCTCTTTACATTGTGGCCAAGGAATAAATCTCTTTGACCTTGACCTGGGTGCCTGTGCCTTGCAGGGCTGACACCCAGCAGGATTTCTAGGAAGAGAGACAATCAGAACTTTCCCTTCTCTACCTTGCTGTCCTGTCCCAGCTTGATAGTCCACACAGTGCGCCGCCTTCTTGGTGCCTTAGATTCAGGAACGTGGGACTGGGGGGAGCCTCCTGGGCCACTGATTTAGGTCTCCTACATTTGCAGGCTAGCATGTCCCCTGGGAATCCCCGAAATCCTACCTCATGCACAGCCACCAGGCACTATAGCCAGGACTCCAACAACACCCTATAATAAGCCACATGTAAAAGCAGGGGAGACAAGGACAAAGCCAGTGCCCTGCCACAGCATTTTAAAGGCTCTCTCTTCCGAGCTTGAGAGAATCTAGTTGGGGAAGGTCCTGCTTTGAGCAGGGGCCTGGATTAGATGCCCTCCTGAGGTCCCTTCCAACCCTAACTTTCCTATAACTTTAAAACTTCAGTGAGTAGA